GTGCTTCTCATTGCGTCACACCTCAACCCGCCTCAAAGCCAACGCTGATTGGACGTTCGTTTGGTGAACGGCTCCAAATTTTCTTCAACGGAGAGTCTCCAGACTGATTAGCGAGTGAAATCTTGAAAGCTCGCGAGATCAGGATGGTCTCACGAGGCTAACTGAAGGCGGGGGCTGAGACACACTTAATATTATCGGCGTTCTGATGGCATTTTAGTGAAAGGATTTTCATCAAAAACATAATGTGCACAAATAAAAAAATAACTGTATTAACCATGCATGTAGGAGGAGTTTAATGGGGCCCCCAGGAATTTGGGGCCCTAGGCACCTGCCTAGTTTTGCCTAATGGTAAATCCGCCCCTGTCTACATACCTACCAGACATAAAGATAGTTAATCTAGACCTGCAGGAATCACTCACTTGGGTTGGGCTGCAGCAGAACCTCTGTTTGTCTTAAGATCTTCTCAGTCCAGTTCTTCGTAGCGTCCCCCTTGGTTATTAGGTTTTCCAAGTGGGGGTCCAGCTCCGTCTTCTCAGCCTGGCCCAGCTTCTCCTCTGTGAACTGAATCACAGGAGAAGATTATTCAGGAGAAGTAACCAGGAGCTGTTTTTATCCCATCCCTTAGGGAGCAGTGAGCAGCCTGCAGAGCCTAGGGAGCCTTAGGGAGTGAGGGTCTTCCTCAGGGACCCTGATTAGCAGACTGCATTTTAAACCAGGGATGTTGCAGCTTCTTCAGGACACACAGACACCCATCCCCCTATTCTGATTATTCTAACCACACCTAGGAGGCCTGAGGATCTGAGCTGCTGTGTCTCTGGTTGAATTCATATTTTAAAATGACGCAATCAAAAAGAGTGAGAGAAAATATGACATATAACTTTACAAGCCATATTTTTCCTTATTTATAATAACCTTATCCTCCCCATTACCTGCTGATGCCCTGGGCAAAAAGCCTCCATGTCTGTATTAGAATAACATCATAATGCATTAGATTGTAGCCGAATATTAACCCAAATCTTCAACATTATAACACATGTTTTTGTTTCCTCAACAACATCAATACACAGGAAGAAATCAACAAGTTAAGTTAAATAAGCTGTTTTTTGAATAGAGTCTGGTTGGCGACAGCAGCAGGGTTCTGCTGGTGTCACATGAGTGATGGAGCTGATCACAGCCATCAATAATGGATCGAGTCAGGACGGACCTTTATCATCTTACAGCTGCTGCTCATCTGAGCCACAATAAGCAGGAAAAACCTCAGAAATGAGCAGAAGAAGAGCCGGCCGGTCCAAACGGAGCTCCGCACGCACAGAGCCTCCATCCCTGCAGGATGCGGAGCTTTCTAACGGCGATTAAAGCCGCATCAGCCCGCAGACCGCAGCAGGAGAGCCGCTGGTTTTACCTGCACGGCCCGGGTGAAGAACACCCCCGCGTCTGACGCCAGCTTCTTCACGTTGAAGTCCATGGTGCTGAGAGGCTTCTGCTCGCCTTTGTTTACCCAGAATCAGCTGGTGATGTAGCAGCAGGAGACGCTGAGCTGGAGCCGTAATCCGCTCCGTGGAGGAGGATCGGAGATCTGCTGTCTGCCCTGCGCTTAAAGAGACATCAGCTGCGGCATGCAAGCCACTGCTGCCGCCCTGCAGCCTGGACTGAGGCTCTGCACGACCTCCACTGACAGAAGCAACATTAGATCTGCCTATATGTGAAGAAGCTGGTCATTTTGCATTGTGGGCATGCATATGGTGACAGTGGAGAGGAATAACTAAAACTACAACAGAACAAGAACCAGGCTCCAGTGGCTCCAGAGATTTTTTTTTCTGCAGGTGCCAAATGCTGCAAAGCATAGAACTGAGGGTGCAATGCGGAGGTGTCAGAAGTATTAATATCCATTACTCACATACAGAGGTGGAAAGAGTACTAAAAAAATTGTAATTGAGTAAAAGTAT